TATATATATATATATATATATATATATATATATATATATATATATATATATATATATATATATATATATATATATATATATATTACTTTTTGTGATGATAAATCGATTGAAATTATGAAATTCAATTAGACAATAGATTTAGATTGTCTTCATTCATGATATAAAAGGATCGTACTTTTTTACTCATCATTGTTAAAATATTTTCATCACAAAACACAAATTTGACAACATCTTTTAGTAACAAAGAATATGCGCGCAATGAGGACCAATTTTAACCTTTCAATCTCTTAGTTTGTCGGTGATTATCAAATAGCCTAATATGGATAGATCCTTCAAATTTAAGGAATAAAGCTTCAGTTTTTAGATGTTTAGAAGCAACATGATGAAATTTGGTAAAAAGAATCCACTGGGAAGCATGTATATTGTAAAGTGTATTGTTTTTTTCTTGATACATTTTGGTGTAGGGTAGCATTTTACACACGTTTAGTTCATCTACAACAACAACAAAAGCCTTAATCCCGCTACGTGGGGTCGGTTACATGAATCCTTTTTCTCCATTGCGTCCTATTTAGTGTCAAATTTTCATTTAGTTCTAATAAAAATTAATATCATTTTTTATACAATAAGTCCAAGTCTTCCTAGGTCTACCTCTGCCTTTCTTAACATAAGTCGAATCTAAAACATCTAATCTCCTATTCGGATCATCAGATGGTAGACATTTAATGTGACCAAACCATCTAAGATGACTCTATCTAATTTTATCTGTCACTAGAGCTACACCAACCCTATCAAGAAGATATTCATCTTGCTTTTGTCTCTAAGTGTAAAGACACTCATCTGCCAAATCATTCTCATCACTGCAACACCTAACTTAGTATTATGCTTCTCTTTTAAAAGCCAACATTCAGCGCCATAGAGCATTGCAGGTTTCACCACCATCTTGTAAAATTTTCCTTTAAGTCTAAGCGGGAATTTTCTATCACACAAACGGCCCGAAGCATTCCTCAACTTCAACTAACCAACTTTAATTCTACTGTCAACATCTTCATCTATATCACCATCGCCTTGAACAACAGACCCGAGATATCTAAATCGTTCACATCTTTTAATAATTTGATCACCCAAAGTTACACTTTTGTCACTAGAGCCACTACTACTAAAATTGCATTCCATGTATTCAGTTTTTACTTTTCAGTTTTAGTTATACTCAAATGAAAGCATTTAGACTCCAATATAGACCTCCATAATTCAAGTTTTTCCTGAGCATTTTCCTAGGCATTTTCTCTCGTCTTATCCACAAGAAGGATATCATCAGCAAAAAACATACACCAAGGAACATCCTCTTGTAGATGTCCAGTACAATCATCCATAACTAAAGCAAAAAGATATGGGTTTAAAGCCGATTTCTAATGTAATCCAACAGAAATAGGAAAATAATTGGTCAATCTCCTTCAGTTTGAACACAAGTAACAGCTCTAGTATACATATCTTTAATAACTTCAACATAAGTCATATCAACACCTTTCTTCTCAAGAACTCTCCAAAGGATATTCCTTAGAATCTTATCCTAAGCTTTTTCTAAATAAATAAAAATTTTCTAAATTCAAATGTAGATCCTCCTTATTATCTCTGAACTTCTTCATCAAAACTCTCAATAAATGTATAGCTTCCATAGTAGACCTGCCCCACATAAATTAAACACGTTTGGTTCATCTAATCGAAATAATTCAAAATCATTTGTTGAATACAATATTGAATATGCCAAATAACATTATTATGTCTGAGAATTAAAAAATTTATATGTTCTTCAAATATTTACATATGATGGGTAATGATACAAAAAATTCTAATGATATGTACCTTTCCCAGGATATGAATGCTCTTACTCCTCAAAATATGCAACTAAACACAATTATATGTAGGGGTGTCGATTCAAGCAAATATGTCACGTTTGGGTTTAAGCCAAATCAAACTAGACTCGAATATCAACGAACCAAACCCGGCTCTTTCATTAAAGGGTTAAAAAAACTTACCCAAACCAATCCACACAACTCGTTTAACATAAGACATGATAGTCAATGCGCCAATTCTATTTCGAGTTGGCATGTGAAATAAAAAATTAAAATATTTAGGATTATAAACACAGGCCCAACCCAAAAGGTTAATCAAGTCAATCCAAACCAAAACTTTTCGTGTCAAGTTCGGATCGAGTTGATATGTCCGGTCAATTTTTGACGACCCTGCATATGTGCACATAAACTAAACATGCATAAGAATGAATGCATGGCTAAGGTGTAATTGGGTCTATATGTATACATGTATGGACATATTCATAAGTGTGCCTATGAACATATTTAAGTTCAGGTGTTACAAACAACATACAAGTGTTTGTGGTAGCTTTTACTCATCCTTCTTTTCAATATCCTTTACTTTATAGTATCGATAATTTCTATTAATAGGATTTACATACGTGCCACACAATTTTTATGTTTGTACATATCTAACATCTTAACTTCTATGTTTATTTATACAATAATTTAGAGTTGCAATCGCATACAAATATATGCATAAAAAGGTGTGCTTTACAAAGAAATTAATATTAGTCGTATTTTTAATTTGATGTTAACAAGGCCAGTATTTTATAAATACATGTTCAAGTTTGGATATTAGATATGTAAATATGTAAGATTATATCTCATATAAGTACATTACCCTTTCTTCAAGGGGGCTTGTTCAATCAAATCATCGATCCAATTGAATGATGCATAGCAAAATTGAACTTAAAAACCATTGTTATCTACACGGTCCTTAGAAAATTACCAAAACTATAATTTAAATTTTGAAAATAATTATCCTTCTTAACTAAGTTTAAGTGGAATTTGTAATAACTGAAGAATCAGAATAATAAAGGAGGAGGATGAAGAAGGAGCTCGTGGGTGCACGAGATAAGGGGGCTGAACCGAACTCTGTGTAGTTAAGTAATCTGATTTTTTTATAAGTTTTAATTATATAAATTTAATTAATTAAAATGTTATAATAATGACATTTCAAATGTTATTAATTTAAAAATAGATATTGAAAGTAGAAGATTTTGTGGGAAAGATGAGCTTTGATATGTGTAAATTGAGTGATAAAAATTATATAATTTTCATTATAATTTTCTCTATTATTAGTTCTTATTATATTTTTCCAGATGTTTTATGCAATTGCAAGACATCTGTACTTATAAAAGTTTTAAAGAAACTTTAGCAATTATTGGATTGAAATAATAGGAACCATGGTTCAAACATGAGTCCATAAGAGACACCAAGCTAGAAGGTCATTTTACCCTGAGTGTCGCCTTGGCGCCACCGTATGAGCACCTAGGCGCCACCGTATGTGCTTAGCGTATGGTGCCTTAGCGCTCGTTAATGGGCACATAGGCACCCCCTTTAGTGTGGTGCGATGGCGCCAAAGTATGGGCCACATAGGCACTCCCCTCCATAAGCCATATAGAGTCAAAGAACTGCTTCATTTGGCGCTGCAGCGCCACCTATTCAATCCAATCAACACTTTTCCGTAGAGCTATCAACAATCCAGCTCCCCAAGCAGAAACCCCAGCACCGACGAACAAACATTGGGAAGTTACAGTGGTTTTTGCCCGTGTCGCATCTTTTGGGTGTACATAACGCAAAATCTCTGCTGAAAGGGAGATGTCTCTTGCATCAAAATATAAAAAAAAAATTAAAAAAAACAACCCTCTTGTTTTCAAGAGCTTCTATGCATGCGCGAGAGAGCAAATATGTAAAAGAGTCGTGAGAGCTTTCCAAGCTCCTCGTTCTAAGGGAGACAAGAAAAACTCTCAGTGGAGATCACGAACTCATAAAAGGTGTAATTTGTGTTTGTTTTCTTTCTAAACTCTTTGTAATTTGATTTGTTTTGAATGAATGATATATTGAATTTGATGTTTCAAGGCATGAGTATCCACAAAATCTCTTTCTCTCCCAATTTGATGAGTAAAAATTCTAGGGCTTGATATTGTGTTGTGGTTTGTTTAAGATGACGTTATGGTGAAATTTTGTTCTTCAAAAGTTCATTTACATCCGATATGGCAAAATTAAATGGTCAAAACACACTGTGAACCATGAGATTCGGAAGAATCTGTACGGGAACATCTAGGATAAATTTCATTAAACTAGTAGAATATAAACATTGCTCGTAGTTAGATGCTATCATATGTGGAAATATTTTATCTTGGGGATTTCATCATATTTATGGAACTAAAGTGGTTGACAATCCTAGCTTCCTTATTGCCATCGGGAGGGCTAATAAATATTATTGCTCCAAATAGATTCCTTACTGCCATCTGGAGGGGCCAAGTAAGAATATTGCTCTGAATAGACATTGATATTTGTCTCTTTATCAACCATAGGTTTTTAGGATCAAAATCATGTGAGAAATCTTCACTTGCTATAGTCAACTCACAACTTTATATTAAAATTTTTGTTTTTACAAATTTAAGTTAGAAATTGTACGACTCAGTTCGAGTCTTGGAGGTAATCAATGCTGGTACAAACGATCGAACGGTGGGAATTAAGTTTTCTATATTTATTTTCTATAACTAACATTTAACAAATGAAAGAGTCGCCAAAGAAATTAAAGCAGTACAATTAAATTTATCTCATTATGGCTTACCTGTGTCATCTATAAATATTTTATCTTCTGTTGATCATCTTTTAATCAAATAATTATACCCAAAGTCAATGAATACTCACACTCTTAAACAATAGTAACATAAGAAAAAATAAAATAATGTAAATGCCAGTTATAATAAATCGGAATAATTGATAGCTTGAGAATATGACAACTTACAATAATTTATGTTGTTCAACGAATTTTACTATATCCAGCATATCGATATCATTCTATATTTGTGCAACCGTCACAAGAGCACTATCTAAAAATTGTATCAATTAAGATACTTTAAATATCATTTTTTTTTCATTTAATTTCACAGATACATTAAGGTTCCCCTATTAGTATCACAAAGAAGTAATTTCATCATAGTTAATCATGCACATACATACATTTATAATTAATATCATTCATATGTTTATCTAACGACATAAAATATTTGTATCTTTAAATAATATATTATAATTTTTAACTAAAAGTACGCCTAGCATTTAGATATGACCAATAAAAAAAAATATTATCAGGACAAACTGATACATGAATTTATAGATATGAATAACTATTAATGCAATTGATTAAGAAGAAAACAAAATAATAATATAAATCGAAGAGTAAGAGTAAGAATACTAGTACTAAAATTTCTTGATTATTAATCATCATTGTCAATTTCCTATTTTGAATATCAATCATCGTCATTCCCGTGGCAAGAAAAAGTCTACCTAAGATTATCGAGATCTCCAAATCTTTTCCATATCTAAGACTATGATGTCCGTATAGAAGATACATTTATCCACCTTAACCAAGATGTTCTTTATATCCACCTAGGGTAAGTCAAATATCAATCAAAAAGGTAAAGGGTGACAATGGTAGGCTAAACTTCTCCTAGTCCTAATATCTTGAAAATGGATAAGGACATGAGATTTATAGTTGCTCCTAATACACATAAAACCATCCCAAAAAATTTCTCCTATGACACAAGGTTTCTAACTGCCGCAAGTTTTCATAGCCCAGATCTCGACCGAAGACAGTTGTTGCATTCACTATCATGCTCGAGCTGAAAGATGCATTGACTTGGGGCTCACACATCATGCAGTGGGAGAAGCATCGGATTTATCAACAGCTACAGCATTTTGAGGCCCAACCAAGCGCTGGTATGAGTATTTGGCCCAGTTAAATGCTAATCAGATGGAGTTATATCACCGTCAAAGAGGAGCAACGTGTGCAACTCGTACAATATGAATAACGAGTATAGGAGACCGAGTTAGTGAGTGAGGAGAACACATGAGTAACCCTAGCGCACCAAACTACGTTGAAGAAATAAATTGTTGACTTCAGGTGATGAAGTCGAGCAACGTCGAAGCATACAAGAGGAACGTCGTGTGCGCGAGTGTAGGCGAAGATCAATGGGTTTTTTGTACCAAATGACGTCGCATATAGGACGAAGAAACGGTGTTCGGTTGAGCAACCAAGATTGACGGGGTTGGAGTAGGTTGTTGACGTCGCGTGGGCATCAGATTGACGGAAGCCTCGTGTTTGGGAGAGCTGTGCAGACTAGAGGTTGCCTACAAGGAATGAGCAAATTAAGAAATTTATTTGAGAAGTGCGGTTAAGTCTGTAAACCTTATATATATTTTTTTTTAAATTTAAAAATGGAGCTTATTAATTTATGATATGACATGCCTCTAAATTCAAGACAAAAGATTACGAGTTGATCAAATTCCAAAAAAAGTTTTTCATTTGAGCATAACTGATGCCTTTAAACACCTATATAAAGATTTCTTATACAATTATACTTATAAGGAAAGATATTGTTTTCATCACAGCTAAAAAAGTTTTTCAATAAAATTATCTTAGCAAATTTTCTATTTACACACGCATAAGTCTGCTGAAAAGAAAATAGAAGTGTAAACTTACATAAAAGCTGTTCACTCCATCATACCTAGTAAACAAACTAGGAAACAACTTAATCCATGTGTCATCACCAAACATAACCAACTTCCAACCAATCTTATGAAATTGATCTGCAGAGAAGATGCACTAAGAGTTAAGTCACCGAATTTCCTATAAAACAGATAACCATACAGTCATGCAACTGACCAAGCAGATTGTCGTCCAAAAATGCATTAGTGTTGAAGTTGAATACCACATCAAGAAATCCTCCAATTGCACCCGATACCATCGCCTGAAAATCATAGAACATTCTTTGTCTTGAAAAAATGACCATCAAAAACTATTGGAAGATTTACATGCATACCAATCAATTCCTATTTATGTACATATATGACACCTAAACGTCAATTTTTACATATATGCCACCCTACCTGTGCATGAAAAGGTGTATTTCATTTTTTAAGAGTTGAAATAGTGGTATTTCTGATATGAGACGAAAGATTTGGGTGGCGTGAATGTAAAAATCAGAGTTTAGATGTTAGATATGAAAATACATAAGAATTGGGTCGTATGTATGCCACTGCAAAAAAAAAATCTCCGACAAATATGTACTTTTAAACGGGGCATTGTCACTGTCGGTGGGGCAGCCTTAGCATGGAAAGCTAATGCTTTTCTTTCAGAAAGCAGAGACTGAGTATATGGCATTGCCTCCATCAAAGACTTTTCTGGAGGTTGGCTGCCTCTTCCAATCACAAACTCAGCAGGTAAACCATCAATGACCTAAGTTAGTATAAATCATTAAAATAAATAAATGATATCTCTTTTGCAAAAAAAAGACATTTAATTTATTCATAAAAGAAAACTTGCAGTTTTTCATGAACTGCAACATACCATGAAAATAACTCGATCAAATGCAGGTGGAATTTGTGATAAATCCTGTTAAAATTTAAAAATAAATAAATAAATAATCAAATAATCATGGGGGTGGACTCCAAACTGCATACACATTAATATTCATGCACCATATCATGCAAAGAGATGCTACAAGTAACCCTTAACAAGCAAAAAAAAAATTTATAGCTCTGTAACAATAACGGAGCTTTTTCTTTCAGCATCCTGCAAGTGGATTTTACTATATGCATGGCCTGCAAAAAAAATTCCTAAGGATCCTAGCAGGTCTCTTTCAAAACACACATTTTTATCCTTTTTTGAGCTTAAATCCAAACAAATTTATAAGGAAAATCATCAGATAAGTCTTTCATCTCAAGTCAACTCCAATGCTTACTACAAATAACTTTTGTGATACAGATCATAGACATGTCAGCTAAGTTGTGCTAATATTTACGACTATGGCGCATGGTTTAAACTTTTCAGGGCACGTTACAGTTCCAAAGCTTCCTCAATGGATTATAATAAACATTTCTAAAAATCTATGGACCTTCCAGATACATCTATGGTTCTAAAAGCTTTCGCAATGAATTTTAACTCATCAAAATTACAGATAGTCCTGCTTCAATATAGAGCTTTCAGGTTGTTAGGGGTTATACTGGGAAATAATTTATTCCTCTGAGAAGTTATGAGGAATAAATTATGTCATTAGATTAAGGAGATATTTCTTTTCCTAGTTTATATTTATTTTCTTGGATTAGAAATTATTTGTATTCATTTTTTATGTTATTTCCTTTATCTCCGAATAATTAATATGATTTGATTATTGGAGATATTTGGTGATATATATTTCCTTTTCATGTTATTTATTTTTGTTATTTTTTTATTATAGAATTCTTGTAAGAGTTATTTATACATTGTTCATATCAATGAAATAAATTTTGTATTTCGCATTACTTTGAAGTTCAACATGAAATCAAAGCCAAAATTTTGCCCTAACCACCGGTAGTTATTGAAGGACCTTCGGGGCTCCCTTCCCGTCGGCCTTCTTGCGGGAAGATAGGAATTATTTGTTTGCCTTGATTCACGTTCTCTGCTCGTTGTCTCATTATTTCTTCGCCTGCATCGAAGAGCAAGACTAATCTACATTCCTTTCTTCGTCGGTTTCATCCCTGAATTTAAATTTTGAGTCTTCTTATAGGCACTGCAGACTACGGTCAAAATACAATCACAGTTGTCTAATATTCTCTCTAGGCCGAAACACATGACAGACAAACTCAAAATTCAGTCAAGCCTTAATTTTGAGTCTTCTTATAGGCGATGCAGAAACTGTAGTCAAAAGACAATCACAGTTGTCTACTTCTGTGCAAACTCCTCTGCATCATTACATGTAGAACAACAAACTTGAATTTGAATTTGAGAGGTGAACAATCATGTCATTATGTCAAAAGACAGTCATTGCTTTTTCACTACAAACTTGAATTTGAAAACATCAAACAATGGGCAAGGAAGATCCTGTGAAGTAGAACTTAAAGTCTTTGTCTTGTACTGCAGTTGTCTTTGGCTGCATTTACTGTAGTGTCTGTAGGTAGGTGAAAGGTTCTTACAAATAATGTTGCATGAGAATTTGCAGGTAAGTAGACATTAGTGGTTGCAGTTCCTGCAGTTCAACTATGTTTCAACTTGAGGGGAAGTGTTAGGAGTTATACGAAGAAATAATTTATTCCTGTAAGAAGTTGTGAGGAATAAATTATTTCTTTATATTAAGGAGATATTTTATTTCCTATTTTATATTTATTTCCTTGAATTATGAATTATTTGTTTTCCTATTTTATATTTTTTTCTTCAAATAATTAATATGGTTTGATTATTGGAGATATTTGAAGATATATCTTTCATTTTCATATTATTTATTTTTGTTATTTTTCCTATTGTAGGATTCTTGTAAGGGTTATTTATACCCCGTTCGTATCAAGGAAATAAATTTTGTATTCCGCATTATTCTGAATTTCAACGAGGTGCAAAAAAGAACAACTTCTCATCATTAAGACAAAACAAATGTTATAATTTCGTCCTAAGAAACTCATATCTTCTACAAAAATAATTAAATAAATAAATAAAATCTAAACATGTAAGATCCGAAAATCACTTTGATTGTCTATCACTCTTCCACGACCAAACCTTGAAACCCTGAGCCGCTAAACTCCTTATTGTCGCACATATTCATTGTCCAAATCCTTTTTCATCCCACTGATAAGATCATTTGATTCATGAAGGAGTATTTTTGGAGAAATGGGATAATGATGAAGAAAAATTACATCTTTACAAATAATGTGATGCCGCTTAAGTATGGCAAACTATTTTTAAACATCAAGCAAGCATGACTTGTTGTGATTTCACTGAAAAAACTATCAATGATGCTTATAACGCTGTGAACTTCAGTGCATTTGATTCAATAGTTAGAAATATTTAAAATTGTTGAATGCCAGCCTACCAAAAAGGTTGATATAAGCTAATAACATAGACTATCAGATTAATATGAAGTCAAGCTACATCAAACAGCTCACAGAGCAGATACGAACCATGTACATTTTCGCTAGCTGATCTGGAGGCAGGTGCCCTTTTTCATCTTCCAGCACATCTTCACAAGTTGGCATCCGATAGCTCTCCGGGCCACTGAAATTCACGCCACCAACATATCGATCAACACCACACTTACCTTAAGAATAATAATAAGGAACTTTTACTTGATTGCCAAGGGGTGAAAACATAACCTGAACCCTGGAACAGTTGGTTTAACGGGGAAGAAGCCGCTTACAAAGAGCCAGAGGCCAAGAATCTGAAGCAGGGTAGCGGCAGAAGTATAACATGCCAACCTACTGCAGGACATTGAAGGGGTAGCCATGCGATTTGACAAGGCAGAACCCTAGGGAAGAAAGCATGTGATGTTCACGGCGGAGACGATAAGTCCGGCTAAACCGCCAAGAAACTAATGGGATTAGCAGGCGGGGGTCGGGTTGGTAACTAGGTATGTTCAGGGGCGGATGCTTCATTTTTAAGTGTAAGCTTTAAAAGTTGTTAAACTCTTATAATCTTTATTATTTCTTTTTTATATCAAATAGTCGTGCATTAATTTAAATTAATCTTTTACAATGTCTTATGGTTCATATTTAGTTATTTTTCTTTTTAATAATTAAATATACTTGATGAGTTAACTAAATATTTGTAATCTCTTCTCTTGACGGGATAATCTAGTTAAGACTCTTTTCTTCAAATGTGTTCAAGTCGTTCACATTAAAGTCTTCACGGGACGAATATTATTTTCTCTCGTGTTTGAATGCATTCACAAATATGCATGTTGCATCTTCATCTAAAACCTTTAAATCAGCATTATCACGAGATGGTTGTCGTCATTTAAAATAATGTCGTGTGTCATTGCAACAACTATCTTTACATATTTTCTGAATTAACGTATCGATATATTTTGGAGTATCTTTTGTTGAATAATTTATTCCTCTCTCAATTTTTTTGGTTGTTGCGTTCAAAATCAGAAACGTAATATCTTATATCAGGGAATGACTTTAACAAACCTCGTAAAAATAGATATCTCAAATCGGCTAGGTGAAATTTTATTGAATAATAACATTGTTATTGTATATCCTAAAATTAAATGTTTCATATACGATCATTAATACATTAACCTAGTATAGACAGTGAAATTTTGTATTGACATTGACAAATAACATATTTGAATATGTGAATTTCATTAGTACTGTGGTCTCATCAAGTTGTTATGAATGTAAAACACATATTAAAATCATAAGGTGTTGAGATATTATGTGCAACAGATCTATAGTGTCTGATATATGTAATCCTCTAATCATTGTCAACGCATGCACCGACATGTGTGTTATTCTCTTATATAATCTTATTTAAAAATTTTATTGGAACAATTTGTTTAGTTGTAAAACATACATTTAGCATAAATAAAAATAACAATATAATGAAAAACGACATGTATCTCATATTGTTTCATATTTCTTGTTGTGTGTGCAACGAAAACAGGATTTATGGGGCTCACAATGTTGTTTGACTATCTAGCCAAAAGGTTAACCCCAATATCGAAATATTTACTAATTGTTTTTGTTGAGTTCTGAAACCACCCAGGAGCATCATGAATGACCCATTGTGTGACATAATATATAATTTACTCGGTTGTCCCTCTCTTTAACTTCTTCCATTGTTTTAATCTTCTTCCAATTGAACTTATTTATTATTCGACCACATTTTGTCATGTAAATTTTTTACGTTATATTTTGCCAACATTATTTATTAAAGTGTGTGGTTGACTTATTGTTAATTTATATTTTTTCGTGCATAAATCTCATAATGTGATGTTGATCTTTCTCTCCAAAATGGTTGATATCTCACTTTTTTTTTACTCATCTAATGTATGATGTAGAAAAATTAGTTGGAGAAAAAAAATATAATTCAGTGATGCAAATCTAGAGGAAATTATGGAGGAGGATTTGGAAATCGAGACAAATCAAAAAGGACAATAAATCCTAATTTCAAATTCAAAATTCAATTTCGGCAAAAGGATGTTTTAAAAGTGGAGTTTTAAGAAGCTCAATTAAAGGCTCTCGTTTTAGAAGTTAATTAAAGTTATTTTTTCCGGTTATGTTTTCCTTTATGTTATGTGTTTATTTGTTTTCCTAAAAGTAATTTTAAAGTTTATTACCTTCCCAATTAGGATGAGAGGTTTGTAATATGTTTCTATTATTTAAATGTAGTAAGAAGAAAGATGGAGGTAGTGACTTTTGTTACTAATTCATGATTTCTCTTGAATTCCGTTGGTGAGTTTCCAACAACGCAGAGGGATTCTGTTTTGCCTCTCTATTGAGTCCAACGAGATATTGAACTTAAGGGTTAGGCATTAATTTGGTATCAGAGACGACCGAAGTTCCCTCACTGCGAAGTCTTCATCTCATGCCTGTAACTCGCAGTGGTAAATCATATGTCATGGCGAACAACTCGCATCCAAACGACCAAAACCCCATCAATCATCACACAGATCAACCGCAGCTACAACACCAAATCCACCAACTCACCACCGCTTTAGAGCAACTCACTCATTGGCTCGATGTTATGGAGGAACGCTATGCGCGAACGGAGTATGACCCTAGTAATCAACGAGGACAAGAAGCAGCTCGTGGGAAAAAAAGGAACGACAGCGACGGACACGCGGAGGACGTACATGACGATGATGAATCTACTGCATGTTACATTATCGAGCTGTTGTAATCGAGCTAGAACTCAATTTTGTAGCCGTTGAAATATTGAAATGACATTGTCAAATAATCAAAAAATAAATAAATTACATACAAGCAACTATTATATTTGCCCCTAATTTGACTCTTTAAAAAAAACTTTTACCTCTTTGTTCATGACTCCACATATAAGAAGACATCATAATGGAATATATGAAAAAAGTTAGTCGAGTAATCTGACTGGTGTAGAAGAATATAAATATTTTGATTGGACTCATCTAGAATTTGCAGCATATTCTAATAATGTTACTTTGTTTATGTGCATATTATATAATGACATACAATCAAATTGCCCCACCATACTCACATTTGCCGATGATAATCACGTCTTATAATTTATTGCATAAGATATGCATGACAATCTATTTTATATTTCTTGTATTAATCATATTACATCATCATCCTGGCACGTCATTACATCACATTCAAGCTGCGTTGTTACGTTGTCATTGAGTGTCTAATTGCATCGTATTTAAGGTGCGTTGCTACACCATATTCAGAAAGTGTTGTTGCATCGTATGTTGGGTACACAGTTACTTTTGCAATGTAGGCCCGAATTTCATAGCGCACGTCATAATTTTGAAAACGGTTTCATTACAACGAGTCAGGAGCAACTAACAGTGGTTGATGGTGTTCGACGAGCGGTGATCGACGATTGTTAGTGACTTGTCGGCACTATTTTTGGTGTAGGGTTTGCC